AGCAGGGCTTATAGTTTTAAATCAAGACCTCTAATTTCCAGCTTCAGCCATTTCCAGCTTCAGCCGCGACAATTATTATTACTGAATACTCTGTTATTTATGTAATAAAAGCTTCAATTATTACGAAAAGTTGATTGCCATCAAAATATTATTAAATTCTACGGAGTTACGAAAGGCGCATGATTTATTCTCATTAAATATTATTATTTAAAAAAGAGGCTGGTATTCGTACTCCCACATTTAGTGTTCATATCCCCCAGCAAAAATAAAAAATTTTTAAAGCTTTAATCGAAGATATCTCGACAGCCACCTGACCAAATTCGATGAATTTTTTCTTTATTTGAATTCTGCAGATTCTTAGAATTCAAATAAAAAAATTCATCGAATTTAATAAGGCGGTTGTCGAGATATCTTCGTTCAAAGTCGAAAAAATCAAAACATCTATCAAAATAGAAAGCCGCGCCAAATTTATTTAAAACTTTGAACGAAGATATCTCGACAACTCATGACCAAATTCGATGAATGTTTTTTATTTGAATTCTATGAATCAATAGAATTAAAATAAATAAAAGTTTATCAAATTTTATCAGTTGGTTGTCGAGATATCTTCACCCAAAAAAAGTCAAAATGTCTATCAAAATAGAAGCCTTGCCAAATTTTTTTAAAACTTTGAGCAAAAAATATCTCGACATCCATCTAACCAAATTTAATATATTTTTTTTATTTGAGTTGTTTGAGTTCTATTGATTCATAAAATTAAATAAAAAAAAAATTCTTTGAATTTGGTCAGATGGTTGTCGAGATGTCTTCATTCAAAGTTTTAAAAAATTTATTTTTACTGGGGTATGAATACCAAATGTGGAGAATACGGATGCCAGCCCCTTTAAAAAAATTATAATTATTTATACAAAAATATTTTATTTGATACAAATAAATAGATAGCGACGAAATTTATTATATGGTTTTACAATATGCCGACAGTGGAAATTTACGAGAATATCTAAAAAAAAATTTTATCAATTTACAATGGACGGATAAACTACGTATTGCTAAAGAAATAGCACTCGGACTTCTATTTTTACATAATAATGATATTATACACAGAGACTTTGCAAGTATATTTTAATTGGATCTTATATTGGTTATAATTTTTGATTTACTAATACTTTAATAATTTAGCATTCAAAGAACATTTTAATTCATCAAGGACATTCAAAGATTGCTGATTTTGGACTGTCGAAATGGATAAATGAGACATCAACTTCAAATTCACGTGCTCGAGGAATGACGGAGTATCTGGAACCAAAATGTTTTAATAATCCTAAATACAAACGTGACAAAAAATCGGATGTCTATAGTTTCGGTATAATCCTCTGGGAAATTTCAAGCGGAATGCCGCCATATCGATCGATTCCTCAATATTCTTCATATTATCTCATGAATCAAATATTAAATGGAATGAGGGAAGAGCCAATAAAAGAAACACCATTTCATTATGTTGAGCTTTATAAGCAATGTTGGGATATAGAACCTACTAAACGTCCAGAAACAAAATCGATACTTAAAATGCTAAATCAACTTATTCGGAATCAAAATTATTCTGATGAAAAATCAGTTCATGATAACGAAACTTCAAGTAATCCACATGATATAAATCCTCACATGAATTCACTTGAAATTACAACATCGGCACCACTTAATTTACTTGATACAATAAATATTAATACTTCAGCTCAAGATACTATTCCTGTTTATCAACATCAACAATCTGCTGAAAAATCTGCTGAAATTGGCAACGCTGATGAAATGAATAACCTTGGATACAATTATCAACATGGAATTGGAGTTGAAAATGATGAACATAAGGCATTCGCAAAAGACGATCCTGAATATTATAATCAGATTTCTTCGGAAGAATGGCTTAACATGGCTGTTCGAATGAAATTAATTAATGAGTATGAAATACAAAGAATTTAGTAATCGTGAGATAATTGGTCAAGGAGGTTTTGCTATAGTACATAAATGTGTATGGGAAAAGACAAATAATTTGGTTGCTATTAAAACTAAAATAAATATACTTGAATTTATTAATGAGGTATGCTCAATTTAATACTATGTTTATTAAATTA